CTCACTCTGAGTAACCTGGGACTATTCCATACACTAAATCAACTACATCAGATAAATATCAGATTTTTAAAGTACAACGTACTTGTTGAGTAAGAGTAAATGCCTTTACCACAAAACAAAAGCTGCTTGAGAAACTGATGCAACTAAATGTATCACAAAATAAAATACATTCTACTGAAGTTGTGAAGTCCTCCTACATCCTACACAGTAAACGTGCACACACAACACAAAACATGGCATATGACAGGAATCATTCAAATAGACAGGATTAATGAGATTAACTACAAACCCTGACAACTGTAAAGAAACACAAAATACAACGTAATACACAAGATCCCCATTTACTGCACAGAACTCTGCTGAAGTTATTTTGTAGCATACATATGAAATGTTTTACCCAACATGTTTCTTCTTATTTATTTTATTATATGAAGGAAATGTTTGATGCAGAGTTTATAGTCTTCTGTATTTGCAGTGAAAAAGAGTTGAGGTTTTTTTTACAATTGAAACAGAATGATGATTAAAAGGAGAAAGAAATGTAGTGAAAACAAACAGCTAGATTATAAAGTGGTGTAGAAAACTAAAAACAGGAACATGTCTGCGGTGGTTCTTGCCAGGAACTTAACAGATGTTTTGAAGTCACTTGGAGAGGTCAAGGTCGAGAGCTTCAGGTCTTTTTGTAAGATATTCCAGGAAACAGGAGCGGAGTAGGAGAAGGCCCTTTTGCCAAGTTCAGTCCTCACTGAGGGAACACTGCAGGTAATAATGTCCTGGGAGCGCACGCTGTAGCTGCACTCACTCAGAGACATGTAAGAGGAGATGTATGAAGGCAGCAGACCAAGAAGTGATTTAAAGATGAAAATGTGCCAGTGAGAGAGTCTGCGTGAAGTTAACGATGACCAGTTAACCAGTGAATACTGGGTGCAGTGGTGGATATGGTAGTTACAGCCAGTTATGAATCTTAGTGCACCATGATAGACAGCATCCAACATCTGCAGGGTTCTTGTAGGAGCGTTCATGTCAATAATATCACTGTAGTCAATGGAAGGAAGGAAGGTCACAGTTACAAGTTGTTTCTAGCATTCAGAGTTAGACAGGATCCGTTTCTGAAAAAATTATTATTTTTTTTATTTAACTTTCAGTTTCCGTACTAGGTTTTCCACGTGAAGCTTAAAAGAAAGATGCAAGTCGACCAAGATACCCAAAAATTTGTAGGAATCGACAGACTCAATAGGGACACCATTTGAGGATAAAATCAGATGAAGAACTGCTGGGACTGACTTCCTGTTTGAAAAACAGCAACCCTTTGGTTTTGTTGGCATCTAGGACAAGTTTGTAACTGAACAAATCAGACTGGATGATGTCGAAAGCGAATTGCAAAAGATGGAAAGCCTTATCAACTGTTTTAGTTCAACAATAAACAACTGTGTCATCAGCATAGAAGTGTAGGGATGCGTCAGGAATGCTCTGACCTACATTACCTATGTAAATTGTAAAGAGGGTGTGTCCTAAGACTGAGCCTTGTGGTACATCATTGTTGACTGTTAAATAACTGGAGGAAGTACCATTATGTTGAACACCTTGCCTCTGATCTGAGAGATAGTTAGAGAACCAACCAATGTTGTGATCTGAGAAATCAATTTCTGAGAGTTTATGACACAAGATGTTATGATCCACAGTGTCAAAAGCTTTAGACAGGTCTAAGAAAAGTGCAGCACAATAATCATAATAATAATGACAATAAAAACCATCAGGGATCATTAGAGCAGGTCTAAGAGCTGCATTTAAGATGTTAATTTAATCTCATTTAATTCTAATTTATTCTGAGGGCTACATTTAAAATATTTTTGTAGGGGGTAAATAAATGTTTATTCAGATTTGGCCTCGAGTCTGACATGTGCTTTAGACTACCAGAACCATCAGCGGGGCTCACAGATATAAAATACAAAGAGGTGGAAGAGGAATATTTAGAGACTGAACATTATATTCAGAGCAAACCTTAGTAAAGTAGAGAAAACAAAAATAACAAGAAGTAGATAAATGTGAAACACCTACAGATTTCATCTTTACAAACGTCCTGAGAAATGTGAGGTGGACTGGTTTTCATCTGAGCTCAGGCTGCAGAACATCAGCTGAAGGTCAAATGTACAAACACTGTTTATTGATGAGCAGACCACATTCAGCTCAAAGTATCGTCGTTCTGCAACAACTATTAGCGTATTTTCCGCCGTATACGTCACATCTGTCCAAATATGTCTAATAAAGTGGAAAAATCCATAAATATGTTGCATCTATTATGCGTCACCGTTGACAACCCGGAATTGTGGGCCAGTGTTGTGCCAAAAATCAAATGGCTGCCAAATGGCGGCCACAGGACCGTGCACGGGAGGACTTTAACAAGAATTTAACAAGATTAACGCCTAAAAACAATTATTTGTTTGCTCGATGTTATAGTAAATGTGTGTCTCAGTTGAACTTTTCTTTAATAAATGCACTTTGACGGTCAAATCAGCTGCGAGCTGGACGAAGGTGATAGACTATGGCAAGCCGATTGAGTCATTAATAGCCACTTTAGCTTATGAGACAACGATATGCCTTATTACTCTGCTGCCATGTAGCAGCTGAAAATAGTAGTGTTCAATATTTTCAGTCAGAATAAATGAAAACGGTTATATCTCAGCCAAAATTGGTTTATAAACATCAGGAAAAAAACACAAGTCGCTTCGGTATATAAGTCACAGGGCATGCAAATTATGTAAAAAACTCTGACTTATAGGCGAAAAATACGGTACTTTACTATTTACCGGTGTCTCTCCCCTACTCTATAAAATTGATGGACAGCTGCTGCTGATATCTGACGCAGGTAAGACATTTTCATCAGTGATCAGTTTAAACCGTCCGTTCACCAATTATCTCACTGCACAGAACATCCAGCCTCTTCTGAGCCGTTAGCCCTTTACTCAGACAGTTACCGAGAAGGCTGGAGCTCCCCTGTGCCTTCTTGAAGTTTGTTTCTACAGCGACATTAATGAGAAGAGCTGCGAGCACAGGCACAGTAACACCGTCGAACGCTCCACCTTTCTCACGTGCTGCAAACACGCCTGTCTTTTCTCACGGAATCACCCGTGCTTGTAAGAAGACCATTGAAAAAATATTTTAAGTTAATCTGAGAAGAAAGAAATAGACTTTTTTCTTTTTTGCTGCTGAACAAGTTTGATCATTTCCGAATAAGAGCACATAACACACAGCTTCCACGACTGCCTGCACATTAAAGAACATGAAAGTGCAGCTATCAGTTTCAAAGTGAAGGACGGGCCTGTTGATGACAATCAGAGTAGTGGGTTTCACTGGGACCACTCAGGAGTTCTTTACTGGAAGTGGTTTCAATAAAAGTCAGATCCAATGTGGAACCATGGTCTGATGGCCCTTTCTGTCCAAAACATTTGTTGGTCAAAGTTTAGGATGTTTTTATTACTATGGCTGAGAATCTGCCCATGAACCACATGTTTGGGTTAGCAGAGAGAGCTGGGTGAGGCTGCAGTGCAGCGTTGCCAGGTCTGCTTATTATAAGCGACTTTGTGCTAAGTTTTATCTAAAGTCACTTACAAATCTTGTGAGTCGCGGATTTTTTGGGCTTGTTTTGAACGTGAAGTTGTTTATTTGGGCTTGACTTTCTTTCCAAGTGAAACTAGTTGATTATCTCTCAGCTCCACACAATAAAGCAGAAGACGAGTGGCAGTAGGTAGTTTGTCCCTTCCACGCCCCGTTTCCTGTTTATCTCTCCCGCCCAAGTTGGCGAGGTGACACTCAAACACTCATACTGTGGCCGACCTCTAGGGAGCTCCACTCACACACAGATGTCAGGATGTTTTGCTTTTAAAAATATGTAGAAAAAATATGATTTTTGGACAAATTTTTTGCAATTATTTAAATGCAATATGGTTTTTTTTTTTAATCAGAGCTTAAAAGTAAGTTACTCAAAGTGTTTAGCATACTTTTGCTGTTGTTTATGTGTAATGCCATAATAAATGTATGTTTATTCTGTTTAAAAACAGCCTCTGTTTTACACAATGTGGTGAGTTGCCAGTTGGGCTTGTTTTCATAGAGCTGGTTGCTTGTTTCTATTGCAAGATCTGGCAACACTGCTGCAGTCATGCAGCTGTTGCTCCAAGGACACCTCAGAGTCTGTGAGCTCGGCTCAACTGATGAGAGTATAAAAACAAGCTGCACACACGGCTCGTGGCAGATTCTCATGACTGGTCTTTGTGTGCACTTCCTGCATATCTGTAACTGGTCCTGAAAATCTGATCTTGTACGTAAAAAAACGATTAAAAATCTTCCCCTGCTGTTGAGTGTGGCTCCTTCTGAGTAAGTGATGTAAAGCGAGAACATTTTTCTCCAACAGTTACACCTTTGACTGTGGACTGTCTTAAACATGGACAGACAGACACAAGCTGGACAACAAAGAGTTTCATATCGTTATCTTACTCTGATGTCAAGCCGAAGCGTTGACAAGGTTTTAACAAAGGGGTCACCTGTGACCTTGACCTTGAAATCAATAAGGATCGTCCTCGACCTGTGAGACACCCAGCTGTGCAGTCTATGTAGAAGGGTAAAGTTAGAACTTGGATATATATAAAAAGGAGCAAGTTGAAAATGGGATTAAAAAAAAAATAGAGTCAAACCTCTCAAAATGAATTTTGACTTATTCCAACAAGTGATTTGTATTTTCACTTTTCACCAGAGTGCTTGACATGTCCTTGAGAAAAACTGACAATTCAGAAAGTGTAAACGGCTGATTATCGATCACTGTAGATATCTGGAGTGTTAACGGGTAAAGAATTGAAATAAACAAATAATAAATGGAAACAAACTGTGGATTTTGTGAACAGTTCCACTCCTAATAAATGTGTTTATAAATGTGCCCTGCCCTGAGGTTACATCGGAAGAAAAGTATTTATATGTATTTTAAAAGACTCCCAGAAAGTGGAGGCTCTTACCATGGCTGTAGCTGACCCCGGGGCTGAGGGTGGAGGGAGTGCCCATGTGCTCCCTGCTGGGTGTTTGGAGGCCCGCCTCCTTCTCCTTGTCCCTCTCCTTCACCTGCCGCTGGCTCATCCTGCCGGGGGTCAGAAGGATGATGTCATCGCTGTGTGCTATGGCAGCTTCGGATGGAGAGAGGGAGACGAAAGGAGAGACAGAGGAGGGAGGGGTGAGAAAGAGAACAATGATTGTTCTTTCTTCAAACAGAACCCATCTCTCCTGAAGCCTCTGTTAGCTGCAGCCCTCAGTTTCATAACCTGTGTAGATGACTTGCATGATGTTTGTTTTCCTCCTCATCTCATGACTGGAAAAAGGTGCAGGAAAGCTGAATACACAAGCGTCTCCTTTATCTCTCCTCCTTGTTTACATGAGTCTGATGAACTGGACGACTTCATAAGGTTAGAGAATGGAAGCCAGTTTTAAATGAGCCCCATCATAACTTCATAAAGATTAAAGAAAAAACAAGTTTGAATCTGGTGATGATCCAAAAAGCACTCGGGTCCTCACAAAGCAAACCTGCACATGTAGAAAATACTCCTTTCATTTCTAATTAAAAGCCTAGCATTCCTTGAATGAACGAACGTCGCCTTCTGGGCCAGAGTTTTAAATGACAAGCGGTACACAGATGTCCCCCGTGGCTGAGGGATCTGAACAGTGAATGTTTGTAGTTTTTCAAGATGAGTGTTGTTCTGGACAGGAATTGAACAGGGAAGTAAACCTTAATGTTTTTGGTGCAACATATTCAAGTGGGAAGGAGGTACGACCAGGTGCAGCAGAGGAGCCAGGGAGTGGCCATGATCACCAATCTAGTGCATATGTGTCAAACTCAAGGCCCCGGGGCCAAATGTGGCCCTTGTTGACAACTTATCTGGCCCCCAAGATGTTATTTTAAATGTAAAATACTTTTGTCACATTAATTTTTTCAGTAATTTTTGATTATGATGTCAAAAGTGCAACAGAGAACGTCAAATGAAACCAATCAAACTCTTGCTGAGGAATCTGCAACCAAGATGTTGGGTATCTAACGTGAGTTAATGTTGATTCTGAAACTGGCCCTTAGTTTGAAAAAGGTTTTAATTGTGGCCCCCTTTTGTAAGTGAGTTTGAAACCCCTGATCTAGAGCCACCACAAGACCACCCTCACGCTTCCTCAGAGATCATCACAGTGAACTAACTCGCAGGAAGACTTGACAATTGTTTTTACACTGGATGTCCTTCCTGACACAACCACAGACCACCGAGCTGCCACAGCCCTCTGTGTGGAGCAGAGAGCTGACATCTAGGGCGCCTGGAGGAGCAGATGGTGGGAGTTAAAAACCTTGCTCAAGGGCTTGGAGTGGGGCAAATGAGGGTGGAGGCAGGTGTGGGTGTTTCACCTTTCCCACCCACATTTTGATGATGTCGGACGGGGAGCTGAACCAGCGACCTTCCAATCACATACCCACCTTCTCTAACCTCTGCGCCACCACTCCCTACATACTTTAAAAAATATATAAAAACTAGAACACATATTTTCCTCAAAGACGGGTGATGATGGCTTTCTTGGATTTTTATGTAGCAACCCATTTTTTCATGGTGATCTTTCTTACATCTGGATGATCAAAGTGGGTACCTCACTTATTTTTCTAGTTATCATGCTCACAACGTGCACAGACAGACAGGAAGTAGGGATGCACAATATTATCGGCGTGGTATCCGTATCGGTTGATATTAGCATTAAAGTTCAAAATCGGACATCGGCCATACCATCAAAATAACTCACCAATATAAAAGGTGCTGTTTTCGTATGACAACCCAGTGACAAGGATGTCTGCAGCGGTAGCACAACGTGATGACGTCACGTGCGCCTACCTGATCTGATCACGGCAGGGAAGAAAAAATCAAAATGTCGGCGGTGTGGAAGGTTTTTTTTCGTTGAAGATGTTGGATTCCAAAGATTTATGGAGTACGTTGAGTCTCGCTACATCGTCCCCAGTCAGAGATATTTTTCTGACGTAACGTTACCAGAGTTACAAGCCGTCATTTCCGACATCATTGAGAAGCTAATAACCGATAGCACAACTTGGGTGAGTTTTACCACAGATATTTGGACGTCGTGTTTGCCCCGTTAGCATGATTAATCTTACGGCACAATTGATAGACAAAACCTTCAACTTAAAAAGTGTGTCCTTCATGCACAGAGTGCAGAGGATCCCACACTGCAGCTAGAAACCTGGAACTAGCCTCCACAAGTGAGACAGCATCGCAGGTGACTAATGCTAATGACTAACATTTAACACTTTTTATTTAATATAAGTTAAAGTGCTATGCATATCATATGGCTGTTACTGAATATATGTCACCAGCTCTTACAGCTGTTACACAATTTTTGTAGTAAATAAGCATAAATGAGAGGCTATGCTCTGAAAAAGGAACACATATAAAAAATATATCAGTATCGTTATCAGCCAAAAATCCATTATCGTGCATCCCTAGATGGAAGGTATTTCCAATTTCTCCTCTTCGCTTTAGGACGGGGGACAATAAACTGAGTTGAACTGCAGTTTTTACTTTATGACACTGGCAACTTGACATGAATCACCAACATGTAAAATTAGGAAAGAGGAAATAAATAACTGTGAACAGTGACAAAGTTAACCATAATACAACACTATCATATTTAAAGGAATAAACCTCTAGAGCAACAGTGATACCCCGAATGGCAATTGTACTCCAAAACAAAACTTTGCTGGAAAATCTAAGTAATTATTCTAGTAGTATATAAGAAGTTTAAATCTAAACTTTTGTTTCAGTAAATTAAGTGGTTAATATTAGCTGCTATTTGCCATTTCATGTACAAACACTTTTTTGTTTTGTTTTATCGAGCTCTAAAATAACCTGATGACTGTGTAAAGGTCGCTGGCTTACCGGAGGTGGCGTGATGCTCTCTCAACTCGGCATGGTGCTAACAGGGGTAAAGGATGAAAACAGAAATAAAAGAGGACAATAAAAGATAATGAGAGAAAATAGAGGATGGGACAGAGATTGTAAAATAGTTCCAGTGATTTTTAAATGGAGAATAAAAGAGAGAGGAAGGGAAGGACGGTGTCCACCATGCGTTGTTGACCAGACGTTCACGGCAGCAGGGTTGGCAACAACGGGCGGCATCAAGAGAAGTTGCAGCCACACGAGACAAGTGATAACCAAAAATAAAGGAGACAAAAGACAGAAAACAAAAGATAAAACAGACGTTAGTTTAACTAAAATGTTAATGAAAAACAAATTAAAACAAAGGTGGCAGCATGTTGAGGGTGATGGGCTTGGATGAAATGGTAGGTTCAGATCCAACTGAAAGAATAAAACTAAAATACAACCAAACTTTACACAGTGAGTGCAACAGCTTCAAATAAAAGGGTTATATATAAAGTAAGATGATGTTTTTAAACTGTACAAGCGGTACGTTGATGTCCCCCATGTCTGACGGATTTGAATAGTGAATGTTTGTAGTTTTCAAAATGAGTGTTTTTCTGGACTGGAGTTGAACAGAGAATGCAAGAAAACCTAACTTTATTTTGGATTTTTGTTTTTGCTTGAGGCAGCACAGAGTGACGGGTCCTGGTGAGTGGAGGGAGCAATTGTGTGACATCAAGTGAAAAACGGCACTTTTTGAAAGGTCATGTGACTGTATGACAATGAACATAGTATCAGATCAAATGAATAATGAAGTTGGCAGTACAGGCGCACTCTGGTTCCATGTTTGTGTTTGAGTGTGAAAACCCCTCAGGCTTGGATACAAGGACTGTGCAGATTGGGGTCATACAGCTGCTGTAAGCTGGTCCATAGCTGTTGTAACCGTTAGTTGGATGTGGAATATCGGTACTGAGTCGAAGCTGACATATTAGTTGAACGTGTTAAAAAGGAGATCGATCAGACATCTGGGTGGCCACTACAGGACCTCAACATGCTGAAAGACACGTGGACTGTTTGTGGAGAGGTGATGTCTTAATGTACCAGAGTGCTGTAACAGGAAGGGTAAGACATGGGAGGAAATGACAAAGCACTGTGCCGTTAGGGTCCCCTAAGTAACTACCAGAAGTAATCTGAAGTCCTGCTCTATAGCGCTCCACATCATGATGCTAGGAGTAATGCTGGTGTGTCTCTCTACCACATTGTCAGGACTGGTCCCCTCCCCTCAGTGTTACAATATGCACACTCTGATCATCACTGGTAAAACAGAACTAAAATTCATCAAACAACTCTACTGTTCATCTGATAATGGCACTACTCCGAAGGCTCAATGATCACTGCTCTAGAACTTATAGCAACCTTCACACAAAAGTGTGGCTAAAGCCAATTGTTGAGACAATGTTGTACGACACACAGAGTTTTGAAGAGTCCAACTTCTGTTTCTGGATGAGACAACCCACGTCAGGTCCAGATGTTCTGTTATGATTGGTGTACAATATAATGATCCTTCCTTGGTGTGGGTGCCATAATATACTCAGTATTCCCATCATTGTGTGACTGTGGCATCTGTACAACCCATGTGTCAGGCAACTTCACAACACATGAAAACCCACAATATTATCAACTTTTGTTAAGGCACCTGATGGAGGAGACCATCTGAGATGGTCCCCTCTGTCACTCTTTAGAGTGCTTATCTCAAGTTTTTCAGATTTGATTTTATGAAGAAGCTGATGAGCAAACCAGTGGTGTTGCATGAATTTGGCAAAATTAGCTTGATTTTATGTATGCAAAGGATTTTTAAATGTTAGACCTAACAAACAGAAAACAATGTTAAAGAACGCAATAAAAATGAACAACGGAAAGTTCCATTCCCAAAGCACATATGCTGTAGGTATTCACAAGAAAATACGAAAATATCTGAAATAAAACAAACACATATTTGATCAAACATTTCAGGAAATTGGCCAAGTATCTTGTTTTATAGTTCAGTGATCATTTCCAAAAATGCATTTAGTTTTAGAACATTCTTTTTATATCATAAGAACAAAACATGGCAAATTTCACCTTTAAAATTCTCCAATTAAAGTAAAAGTGTGTAAAAACGTGCCCCTTTTTTCCCACTCCAATTACTTTCAAGGTTCCTTACATGGTAGTTGTTACTCTAATGGATATTTACTCATTCAGCGTTCAGTTACTACTGAAGTGTCAATAAAACAGCAGATCTTAGATAAGCAACGAAGCAGGATGTTGGTTAATGTGGTTGCAGAAAGACGAGTAATGTTCTTCAGAATTAAAAGTAATATCATCAACAGAAAACGACAGGAGGTATAGCTGTAATACAAGATGGAGAGGAAAGAATAACTCATCTTGCTGAGTTTGATTAAGACCAAGTTAAAAAATGAGGAAAAGCGTGCAGTCCCAAAGAGTTTATCTGTTCTGCTCTCAAGGTTGAAACACAATGCACGTGCCATTTAAAACTGGTGCCGTCACCATGACAGCAAAATTGTTTAAATCAATCAGCAAAACATATTTCATCCCTCTGCCTAACAATATCAGTGTCACAGCAAAACAAACAGAATGTGAGGCATTTTGTAACAGCCTTTGTGTGTCATTGACTTGGATAATGATAAGCGATTCGCCGATGTCCCCCATCCCTGGAGGATATGAACTGTGAATGTTTGTAGTTTACAGATGTGTGGTTTTTTTTACTGGAATTGAATGCAAGTCAACAATAATCTTTTTGGTGCAAGATATTCAAGTGGGCGACCAGTCCAGGGTGTACCCCGCCCCTCGCACGGCGATAGCTGTACATGGGCACCGGCGACCCCCGTGACCCAAAATGGAAGACGCGGGTAAAATATAATGGATGGATGTTCAAGTGGGTAGGAGTTAAAACTGTGTAGAAGAACAGAGGTAGGTTTTTTGTTTTCTTGGCCGAGTCAATGCAGATTGACAGATCCTGGTGAGTGGAGGGAGCAATTTTATCCAAGACCAGGTTCAGTGGTGCAACCAAGGAGTGGCCAATGGTGGCCTTTGTCACCACAGATTAGTCTAGGGCCTAGACTAATCTGTGGTGGCCCTAGGGCCACCCAAGCACACTGCTTACAAAACTGCCCCCGTTCCCACCGTCGACAACTGCTGGCCCTGACGTAGCAGCATCTGTATTGCGCGCTAGCAGTGCACAACATAGATGCACTAGCTAAAAAGCCACAGAGGTAGCACTCCACTTCCCTCAAGCGTCGACTAATATGTATGTGTGTGTGTGTATGTACATGTGTATGTATGGTGACAGTCATCTTAGATTTTAACCTGGCAACCCAATTTTCAAAAGGAACCTTTCTACACCTAGATGTAGCCACACACCAAAATAATTTTTTGGGCTACCATTTGGTGTGGTAGTAACTGGAGTGGTCCCCAACTTATACCTTGAGTGCTAGTTGACCTTGCAATATCTGTGTCCAAATCTTTCTCCTAATTATTGGATGCAACTTTATCAGTTTGTGCGCAAAATATCTCATGAACTGCTGAATAGACTTCAATGAAACTTCCAGAAAGTAAATATTTGGTCAGTACCTATAACTTGTAGATTTTTTTTTTATCTCAAGCCAGTTCAAGAAGGCTGCTGCAGCCAATTGACATTAAACACAAAAATGGCTATAAATTTGTCCAATTTTCAGATATTGAACAAAAAATTTGGCACGATAGTAAAAGTGTATCAACCTCAAATTATACTCGGAGTGCAACACATGATATGACATCAATGGGTAAAAAATTAGCAGTCAACCCATTTTGTCTGTTAGCAAAATATCTCGGAAAACCCTGGATGAAATCACTGGACGGTCAGCTTGTCATTCACAACACATACACCAAGGGTTAAACCTTTATTAGAGGACAAAAATCACTTTACCAACAACTCGGCCTATAATTTAAAGCCTAAATTGCAAGTAATCTACACTGCAACATAATAATAATAGATAAAATAAATTAATAGTCTCAGTTCATGTCAGTCTTCTACTAACCTCACCCCACTTCCTCCAAAACCTCAATCCCTCAGCAGGAAATACTGCTGAAAACAGTCTGTGCTCCCAGCCTCTGAGGAGCTGAAGAGTGCTTACGCAGGATAAAACGCTCTGACATGTTGCGTAATGTTTAAATATCACTGGCAGTAAATTTATGACCCAGTTCAGTTTAAGCAGCAAGGAATATAGGGATAACAAAAACAGTGGGTTTTAGTTCTTTATTTAAAGGGAAGGCTGAAATCCAAACATAGTTTATGAGGGAAAATCCAAAAATCTGGAGTATTATGGAAAATAAATAAACAAATACATCCTGCACCTCAATTTGTGTGTTAGATACTGTGAACAGTTACAGGAACTTCAAAAGAAACAGGGACTCAGAGACACCCCATCTTTGTGAGGTGTTGATACTGCTGCTACAAGGCTGACTCATCACTGGGAGCTGATGGTTCACAAACACTGATGTCAGTAAGTCTTAGAAAACCCATTGTTGTCAAGTACAAATAGCATTGTTTGAAACATGTAAAATGCCAGTCTATAGCAATGTATCTGTCATAAAGATCAATATTGAAAACTATTAAGAATAAAACAATTAAAGTGGTGTATTAAAATGGTATTTTAGAAGAATCAAAAGCACCGATAGCGGTTCTTGATAAAAATTGTACAACTGACCAAATTCAGAGAATTCGAAAGGCTGAACAATCGTTTAAAAAGCATTACTATTGCCAGCCACCTTTATTACTCATAAGATGACTAAGATTGCCTTATGTTGAGAAATGAGGGCCCAAACGTTTAACAAATTTGTGGAAGGTTTATCACTATGTTCCTTAAAGCATTCCTTGAGGGTTGCTGGGGTCGCTTTTAAAGGCTACCTGGGTGCTATATACTGTATGAATGTGTGTATAAGCGTCTTCAGGCCTTGATCATTAGTGTGTACCTGGGTAGTTCACAGTTGAAAGTGAAAGTGGCTGGGATGAGAGTC